CTACTGTAATCTTAAAATATACACTTTTGTAAATATTTTGGTACTAAATAAACTTTGTATGTATGTGTGTATGTCTTTAAAGAAAATATCTCGATTTCGCAAACTAATATATGAAAGTTTCATTCTGCTTTCGAAAACAAAAACAGAAAACAAAATCGAAGTATTTCAAACTCTTTCCGTTCGTTGTGACCTCATTAAGTTAACTTGACGTCATCACAAACGTATTATCTGCAACAAAAGCTACAGATAAATAATACATTTATCATGTCGAGTTCATACGCTATCAGGGATTGGCTGAATGTTCTCACCCATTCAGAGGCAAGATAATGCACGTGACTGGTACTATGTCGACAAGAAGGGAATGAATATGAATAACACTAAGCAATATAATATTTTGGTTTAACCATTAGGCTACGCCACTCATATGGTTGGTAAATGGCACCTCGGGTTTTTCGAATGGCCGTATACTCCCACCTACCGGGGATTTGACACATTCTACGGGTTTTACGTTGGTGCTGAAGATCACTGGACCCACAAGCGAGAGGGGATACTAGATCTACGGGATCAGAAGACGCCGGTGAAAGACATGAATAACAAGTACTCTGCTGAAATATTCTCAAAGGTATGACAAACGACATGGGAACAAGAGTGGTGCTAGGGTCGGGTACGCAATTCTCACCGCAGCAGTCCGAGTCTTGGCTGGTTAAATRCAATTTATTTAACTACGAACATGCTGGGATTAGAAGGTTGCTCGTTCTCTTGAGCTAGAGGCTCATTACTAAAGTACTCGACGCCAGATCGAATTGAATATAGCTGTCGAGAATATAATAGCAGCGGAGAGTAATACGAAAAAAAGAAACCTCTCGAGCACAGGAGAGAAAAAAAAACCAGCTATCAGCACTTAATACACAAGGACCGCTGACCACCCTATAAAGGAGGGGCGGGGGGCGGGGGCGGGGGTTAAAATTGAAGAAGATAAGAGACTATAATGCCAGATCTATCCGATCATTGTCATATTTCTTATGGAATATAAATCCAACTTTCCCCCAAAAACAGTGGAAACAAAGAAAGAGAAGAAAATAGGGAATTTTCGACAATTTCTAGCTTAAAGTGGCATACTGGAAATATCGATAAATTACAAAACATTTTAAGTACTACAGAAATACAAGCAACGCTACGCGAATCAATAGAAAACGCGGATAATGTAGACTCAATGGTTAAGGCATTTACTGAAACCCTAACAGGCATAGGAACAGAAGCAGGTCTTTGTTCCCTAACTAAACAAACTAAAGCATTTAAAGAAAATACAGATTCACAAAGGTGGTTTGATTCAGAATGTGAAAACGAAAAGAAAAATCTTCGATCTCTTGGAAAACAAATTTGTAGGAATCCAAATAATGAA